GTGGAATCTACATTTGCTGAAGCGCCTTCTGGCGAGCCAGGGAACGCACCTCGACCGATAAGGGAGTTTGGCAACATCTGTGCGGTGCTCCACCAACCCTCGCTGCATCCACAGTGCTGGGTCACAGGCCGTGCGCTACCACCGTCCCCCATTTTCTCCAAAGTGTTGGGAACTTCTTCAGCGATGTAATGTTGTTTTGCTCCCAATACAATCGAGCGAAACGTCAGACAATGCTGAACCGCAGGCGGTACAAATCCGAAAGCACCGATAGCCTTTGCCAATGGTGGAAAGTCCATCTTCCTATGGTAGAATCTGGTATTGGCATTAAACAGACGCTGTTAACGTTCCAAAAATCGGTTCTCATTGTATTGACCGTGGAGGGATGATTATATCGCTGACTGGGATTTGAACTTGTGACCTTCCGATTTAATTCAAACACGATACTCACCATTGTTTCTTATTATAATCGGGTGGCTGGGATTCAAAACCATGGTCCCGATATTACTGACCAGATATTAGCAGTGAATGCATCTGAAACATGAAGCGGAAACTTCACGTACATTTGATGGCCTCTGTGAATGTCAGTTGTGTTCCTTTTATCGCTTGGTGACGCATTGTGGAGTTCCTGTAAACAATTATCATCGGTGCTGCTGTTCCTTGGTTTTTGTGCCCGTATCGATCATGTTGCTGTGCGTTGCTGTTGGAATCGGTTGATAGATTTCCATTATAGGCAGAAAAATCCCTCATCTCATGATCAATTTCTGTCCAGCAAGGAGTTGAAATCTCAGTCGGGGGTCAAATGAGCTCATCATATCTCTGAAGTCGATGCAATAATTAATTGCTCCTGTAATGTGTTCAGCAGATTCGCCTTCCATTGTTTAAAGTCTCCGGTTATTAGCAAAGCGATGCACCACTGTGCACAATACTCGACTTGAGCAGTACAGGTGTGTGGCTACCCTCCCCCTAATCCGTGCCACCTGTGCACCCGCGCCGCTCCGGGGACAATCGCCCCCATCACGTGCCCTGTGCACAAGGCACAGGGCACGTGAGTACGATACCGATCCAGCCGCGTTTGTAATTTCATCTGATGACACTACATGGACTCGAAGTGATTATAATGTGAACGTGTACGCAGCGAGCAGTAGTCACTCTTGCTCAAGGAGACAACAACTCGGAGCGACGAGGAGCTACAAGGCCAGCAGGAAAACAGCCACCAACAATGACCACTGTCCAAGTTGTGTGGGCATCTGTAGGCGTTGTCAGCCAATGAGTGTTTACACGCGGCAGGAAACCGGAGTATCCGGTGAAAACCCCCACACGTGCGAGGGGGAATACCCCGGACAGATCTAACAGGTGGAATTCCGTTTGCTGTACCGCGTTCACGTGGCAAGCCAGGGTTATGGCTCATTGACGCCACACGGGAAGGGAGTTTTGCCACGGTTGTGTGTTCCACCAACCCTCGCTGCCTCCACAGCGCGGGACTGCAGGCCACGTGGATAACCACCGCCACTACTATCGTGGGGTTAAAGTAAAAGAGGTACAGTAAACACCAAACAAGATCACATTTCCTCAAGGCACATTTGGTTCAAAATGTGCGTTTGTGTTTCTATCTACCACATACGTATTGTGTGTTGCAGTAATTAACAGATAGACACAATTGCGTGTGTAGTGGCAATTGGTACCTTAAGCTAGTTTGGGATTCCCCTCTGTTGGCTCGGCGTCGTCTCTCTCGTCGTGGGGGACAAACACGAGACTTGAGGGCGCGTCGCTTTGGCTCTGCCACCGCTTCGTCTGCGACGCTGGCCGCAATCGGCGCTTGCGAACGAGAGCCCTTGCCCTGACAGCCGATACGGCACGCGCGTTTGTGTGCGGGATTTGCGCGACGCCACACATCGCAGCACCGTACCAGTGCGTCGACGTCTCCATCGTTGAGTAAACAGTGGTTAGTGCTCTTCTCCAGTGTTGGCACTGAGCCATCGGCAACGTTTCCACGTTCATGTGTCAGGGCCCAGTCTACCCTTGAATCCGACCACTGCTGAGTTCTGAACAAGTTGTGCAGCCTTACCCAGGCAATGCTTATTTCTGCGGACTTCAAATGAGCATGGTGATGGGCGGAGTTGACTCTTAATGCAATTTTGGTGTCTCGTACACCTCATTATCTCTGATCCACCAACCCGTATTTTGGTACGAATATATCTGGCACAGCTTTCATCTGTCCGTCCACGTGGCTCCGCGAAAAACATGACTCACCCGGTGACTACTCAAGTCGCACTGCCCTTATTATGCGCAATGTATTCTCTGTTTTCTCTTGAAGTCACAATTCAGCTGGGAGATAAGTAAGAAAATGTCAAAAGATTTAAAGTAAAGGTCATTTGGTTTTTACCAAATGAGAACACCGCGAAGGGGATCATTCACTCACGGTACAAACGGATTTGTGATACCTACCTCAATTATAATAATCACGTTTACAATTTCTTACAAAAGTGTGTTATATCCTAGGCGATGTGGCATAGACAACTAGAACGACAAGCCAATGCCTTCGTTAAATCTCAAAACATCACAGTACGTATGTTGAACTTCTTTCGCACTGTACCTAGCCAACTGTGCTCATTGAAGGTGCGAGTGTAGACAGCGCATGGAATAGGCTCATCCTAACTCGGAATCAAATTCAAGAGATGATCATAGTCAATGTTTATGCCACTACACATCGCCATTGATATTCTTTATTACTTCCTTCCGCCAGATCTATCCAAATTTGTAGCCAACACTCAACCTCCAAGGTCCTCTTTCACAGTACCACACCACTCAGCTTCACGTCTTCCCATTTTCCCCGGAGCTCTGTAAATTCCACTATCTTAGTAACCCGCCTTCGCCCATCCATGTCCCTGGTTAAATCTACGATGCTTCATCACGCCCTTTTCTCTACTCCCAAGCTGCGTACCCTACCAATACATTCATAGCACCCTCTTATACTCACAGCACCCTCTTATACTCAAAGGCCAGACGCTCATTTGGTATTTGCTTCCAAGGTATAAGCAAATCTCTCTGACCTCAGAACTCCGTTATTAATACGAAAATGTACATTCCGACTCTTCCACAGGAATGTATGAAGTCTGTGAACCAACCTCTGCTCGTAATATTTGTTGATTTTCTTCTCACAACCCCGTGCTTTATGCATATTGCTCTCAAAATACAGAACCTATGCTTACACTGACATTTTGGACCAGAGCCAGAGCTGTAACCACCGCTGTATTTGGCACTCGGTTCTAAATTGGCTGTAGCTATATTAGTAACGAGTGCCCTTCTAAATGGGCTGGATTTTAAATGGAGCTTTGGGCGTACGCGCACACACACACACGTTCAGATAGCCCTCGGCTGACAGGCCACGCACGAGTGCCATCCCCATACTGATGCAGGCATGGAGACATGCTGAGGGGCAAAATTAATGTAAACATTTTCAAATGTTAATTTGATAGTATGATAGATTACACGCCGAACTCATGTGATCCAGTACTTTGGACCTAAGGGTTTATGGATCGCGCAGATATGTTATACTGTTATGCCAGCCATCTAGTATGTACAAATAAGATTATATTGTCGTATTGTCTGCGGGGATAATGGTCAATGGACGAGAGAGGAGATTTAATGAAAGATCACCGCCGAGATGGAGTGAGGAAGTCGGGATGATGTGCACCAGATGGATTGCGGCTTCGCAAGACCGTGAAGGATTGTGACAATGTGGTGAGGCCTTCACTCGGCCATGGATAGACAAATCGTCGGCATGGCAGTCTCGGAAGACCATTGATGTCTTGTGCCTTGGGGGATTAGGTCTGCTGCTGTGACTGCTGCGACTGTGAAGTCTAATCCGCGAGAGGCAGACTCGGCCGCAGTTGTCACAGTTGCAGGCCGGCCCGGATGTTGTCGATGTTGTTGTGGTGGTGTCCTGATGTTCCTTATTGGATAGACAACGGTCGATGAGTCATTATGGCTGGGCTAAGCTGAAAATAATAATAGTACTACTAATAAAACAATGTACGACGGTGTTTTGGTAAAGTCCTGTTGACCCGGCAGAGACCGCTCATGAACTCGCCACGCTTGGTACCAAGCTGAGTGAGAGGTAGTGGCTGGAATCCAAAAACTCAAACCCAGGGTTTTAGCAGTGCTGCTACATTGGTCTTAACATGGCCGTGAAAAGTATCCCCAGCCACCTGGCAACCAATCCATTCATGGTTAACCCTGTCATAGTGACCACACCTGTGGGTGTCTGTTTTCACGAGTTGGGTTTTTATCAATGCTGCATGCACCAAGCCCAATGTACAGTGTTGGGAGTCGTCCATTATTGAACCGGGGGTTGGGGAGGCCTTCAATGCTCGCTTCGTGTCGGGAGGGGTCGCTGCTGAACGCATCGTTAGTGGGCGCTGTCCGTGGTGCTGATCCGTCCATGAACCACGCGAGCCCGGCGATTGCGCTCGCTACACAATCACACACGAGACGCGTCGCATCTTCACGCCATACCCATTTATCTATCGCACCTATAGCCCAGTGGTGTCTTTGTAAAAATATATATGTATAAATAACTTAAGTAATAAGGCGAGCGTGATTTTTTGCCTATATGCACACACGAGCAGATTGCAGCGCACTGTGCTATGGATGATTATATAAGGCTTGCGTTTGTGAATCGGCATTACAGAAATTCATGAATGTCACACATTCCTGTGAATGAATATAAGCAGCTGTTGTAAGTTGCTGCTATCCACACTCAACCGCAGTTACGTGCCACACAGCCGTGTGTCACAGTTGCGTGCCACAACAGTTGCGGTGAGTGCACACTGCTGCGCCGGCCGCGTATATCGGCAAAGCAGTCAGCTTGCCACAAGCGCATGCGCGCGTCCCTCTGCCGGAGAGAGCAAGAGAGCGAGAGAGAGAGAGAGAGGGAGGAGGAGAGGAGATCTGGAGAGAGGGGAGGGAGGGAGATAAACAGAGCGAGGCGGGGGGGGGGAGATAGACGGGGGGAGGAGAGAGGATAGGAGAGAGAGAGAGGGTGCGAGCGAGAGCAAGCAACACGACTAATCCGCATCGTCGCCAGCTAAAGATGGTGGAGTAGCAAAAGCAAGAGAGCGAAGAGTCAAGCGCTGCCCTCTGCGTCGTCAGGAGAAGATGGGAAATGAGCTGAGCGGCGAGGGAGGAGAGGCCATGCCGGGCGCAGCCGCTGCAGCAGCAGCAGCGGGAGGAGCAGCAACAGGGCCGGGTGCTGGCTCGCTCCTGCAGGGCGGTGCCCCGACTGCTGGAGGCCGAGGACCAGCGCCAACCTCCGTCGCTGCCTCCGCCTTCCCCCCGGCCTCTGCCTCCCCCTCGTCCGTGCAGAGGGCGTCCGCTGCTGGGCCCGGAGACCCATCGCTCTACCGGCACGTAGCCCCCCCCCCCCCCCACGCTGTGTGATCTTGTTGTAGCAGGTTGTGATCCACTGGTCCACACGTCGATCCAACACGCGAGCACATCGGATGGATTTGTGTGCGCGTGCCTGGGTGTTGCTTGTGTATCTGCCTGTGTGTGTGTGCGTGTGTGTGTGTTCCTGTGGCTCACCTGTACGTGTTATGTATAGGTCACTATATGGGTGATGGCTAACAGGCGACACGGAAGGTCTTTGTATGGATTCCTATGCTCGTGTAACCTGTCCGTATGTGTTTGTGTATGTTCATTAATCTGTCTGCCTGTATGTGTGTGTATGGATGAGTGTTCACGTGTCTGTCTGTATATGTATGTATGGGTGTGTCTGCCTGTTGATGAGCATGGGTGTGTGAATTAATGTGGCTGCCTGTTACCTATACTGTAATTGTAAAAATGGTGTTCACTCGTGTGTCCGCCTATGTGTATGGGCGTGTTGATGTGTCTATATGTGTTAATGTGTCTACGTGTGTGTCTATCTGGGTGTTTGTGTGTGTTCGTGCCTGTATATGTGTAGGTATGTTCACCTATCTGCTTGTGTGCGTTCTTATGTATGTAAATACAATGTATGTATTTGCATGCTATATGCATATAAGGTGGAGTGTATGTACAGGTACGTGTGTGAATGTATGTGTTTACTGTGGACGCTTCATATGTAGGTACGACATGCAAATTATGTATTAAAATATTCTGTTTCGCTGTGTGTGGGTGCATATGTATGAATGCGAGTGTGTATGTATGTATGTAACAGGACATACGTGAAGTATTTGTTAGATATAGCACGGTATGTAGATTTAGCGTACAGATGTGTAATGTGAATGATACTCCCACCGTTGTCTTCCTGAGTTTCGGACCGGGTAACACGTGTACCAAAAGCACTCATTCATATATTTGCGTGCACACACACACACACAAACTCATACCTTCGTGATGAAGATGAGAGTCCATTGAGTAAATATATTTCTTTAGAAGTGCATCCTAAAACAGAAGACATCTTACCTGTAGGTACGTGATATGTATGTGACCGAATGTGTACACAAAAGCAGGCAACGATGAACGGCGAAGAATCTAAGCGGGAGGCAACGCAACTGCCATGCTCGACTCACGAATTCTCGTCAGCGCATTGTTATCTCTCCCGAGTCGATAAAATAGGTACCACTTTGTGAGAAGCCAACAGAGGCCGGTCCATAGAAAGACTGACGCTCGCCATAGGAATGTGGAATTTCCACACATGCTCGTGGCCACCCAACGGCGATGAGCCCTGTGTATTATAGGAGACAGAACAGTATATATATGTCGCTGTGCTGTACTATGGCTCTCACGTTCATGCCTCCGTCCCCATCAACCCGCATTGACCAGCGTGGTGAAGTATGGCCAAATACCTCTCCCTCCCCTCCCCCTACCCACACGCCGTGGGGTGGCCCCCATCCAGCAGTGGATTCACACGAGGGTTCTAAATGCGCACGCGTCTCTTAAAATCGTCAACCAGCAATCTGCGTTTCAATACCATTGCAGTGCAGGTGACAATCGCATACTCTCCACATACACACTTATAGCCCCCCCCCTATTGGGGGGGTTATTTGGCCATACTTCACCACGCTGGTCATTGTGGGATGGTGAAGATTGTTTTCTGTGTGTGCAGCATATACATCTTTATTCCATTGTCAGACGAGGCGTGCAAATTCCTTGCCCTACTTACAGGGAATAACGTGTGTGGGTGTGTTAACATTGTCTTAATATTGTACTAAGTGATGTGTGTGCAACCCATTGACACCTAACGTGACATTTGAAGGCATATAATTGGTGTAGTAGATGTGTAATGCAATGCTACATAACGTATCAAAGCGCATAATGCAATGGAACTTCGTGTATGTACCTATGTACGACGTTTATAATGTGCCCACTGCATTATAAAATGCCCAATTATGCATGTCCTTGTGCATTACGTGGTGTGCTGTGTATGTATAATGCTCCTTTACATTATATTATGTAATGCACTGCAGTTGGTGTGTGTGCAGCGATGTAATGGCATGCAATGCACGATGCCAGTGTGATGCAGGGTGGTGCTACGAATGAAGGCGAATGTCAGGTGATGATTCTGATGATGGTGGCGGTGATAATGCAAGGTGATTATTACCATGATGATGGTGAATGATGTGTAATTCAAGGTGGTGGTGAGGATGATGATGCTGGTGCGGATGAGTTAGAAAAAAGGATGCAAGGTCGAGATGTGGATGACTAATGCGAGGAGGTGGGTGATGGTGGTGGAATGAGGAATATCCGATAATGCAAGGTCAGGTGACGTAGTGTGCGTGAGAGAGCTGTGTGTGTGTCTACATGCGTGTGTATGTGTTAGAGAGATTGAGGAAGAGCTGTATAAATGAAAGCGAGTTGTGTATACGTGTGTATGTATCAAGGGAATGGAAAAGGCTTCGTGTGTATGATTAATGTGTGTGTGTGTGAATGGGAGCTGTGTGTACTGTACGTGAGACAGAGCGATGTGTGTGAGCTATGTGTGGTGTGTATGAGAGCTACTTTGTGTGTGTTTGAGAGTGAACTGTTTGTATGACCGGGCGTGGTGCTGGCCACCCACCCCGTGTGTGCTATGCTAGCCTTCATTGGTGCTACTCGCTCACAGCACTTGACACAATAGCCTGCGTGGGTTACATGGGGGATCTTTGTCGTTGTTTGTATGAGAGTGCGCTGTGTGTGTGTGTGAGCAAGCTGTTTGTATAATTGTACTACTTGTGACAAGCATCACCACTGTCACCATCACTCCTCTGTTTGCACATCACGTGCACAGCAGTGCATTTGACATTCTCCTCTCCATTACACGAGTGTGCACTGATTGAAAACCCAGGACCATTGCTGTGTTGCCTTCCTGGATTTATTTCTCTTGCATGTATCTCCATTTAAAATGTTGATCCACTTACTGTATATATATAAAATGTTATGCAGGATAGTGCTGATTTCCATTGGAATTGCAGTACATACAACGCTACCGCTGTTCATCATTGCAACGTTATTTTACGTGATAATAATGATGTTTAAGAATTTGTTAATGTTATCGTATACATTACTACATGATACCAGCCATCACGCATTGATCAGAAAAAAAACACGCTGTGAAGAGCCGCCATCCAGCAGCACGGCGAGATGCGCTTCCTGGGATCGCAGCGTGAGGAGTCGAGAGAGGAAGACATCGGAATGGGGAAGGAACGTCGCGTCAGACTGACCACAGCGAACAGTCTTGTTAAGTGACGGAGGGCAAGACGCAATGACTAGAAGAGACTGATGATGTAGTGACTGTCACTAGAAGAGACTGATGATGTAGTGACTGTGACTATAAGAGACTGATGATGTAGTGACTGTCACTATAAGAGACTGATGATGTAGTGACTGTGACTAGAAGAGACTGATGATGTAGTGACTGTCACTAGAAGAGACTGATGATGTAGTGACTGTGACTATAAGAGACTGATGATGTAGTGACTGTGACTATAAGAGACTGATGATGTAGTGACTGTGACTATAAGAGACTGATGATGTAGTGACTGTCACTATAAGAGACTGATGATGTAGTGACTGTCACTAGAAGAGACTGATGATGTAGTGACTGTGACTAGAAGAGACTGATGATGTAGTGACTGTCACTATAAGAGACTGATGATGTAGTGACTGTGACTATAAGAGACTGATGATGTAGTGACTGTCACTAGAAGAGACTGATGATGTAGTGACTGTCACTATAAGAGACTGATGATGTAGTGACTGTCACTAGAAGAGACTGATGATGTAGTGACTGTGACTATAAGAGACTGATGATGTAGTGACTGTCACTATAAGAGACTGATGATGTAGTGACTGTGACTAGAAGAGACTGATGATGTAGTGACTGTCACTATAAGAGACTGATGATGTAGTGACTGTCACTATAAGAGACTGATGATGTAGTGACTGTGACTATAAGAGACTGATGATGTAGTGACTGTGACTAGAAGAGACTGATGATGTAGTGACTGTCACTATAAGCGACTGATGATGTAGTGACTGTGACTATAAGAGACTGATGATGTAGTGACTGTCACTAGAAGAGACTGATGATGTAGTGACTGTGACTATTAGAGACTGATGATGTAGTGACTGTCAATAGAAGAGACGGATGATGTAGTGACTGTCATTAGAAGAGACTGATGATGTAGTGACTGTCACTATAAGAGACTGATGATGTAGTGACTGTCACTATAAGAGACTGATGATGTAGTGACTGTCACTATAAGAGACTGATGATGTAGTGACTGTGACTAGAAGAGACTGATGATGTAGTGACTGTGACTATAAGAGACTGATGATGTAGTGACTGTGACTATAAGAGACTGATGATGTAGTGACTGTGACTATAAGAGACTGATGATGTAGTGACTGTCACTATAAGAGACTGATGATGTAGTGACTGTGACTATAAGAGACTGATGATGTAGTGACTGTCACTATAAGAGACTGATGATGTAGTGACTGTCACTATAAGAGAATGATGATGTAGTGACTGTGACTAGAAGAGACTGATGATGTAGTGACTGTGACTAGAAGAGACTGATGATGTAGTGACTGTCACTATAAGAGACTGATGATGTAGTGACTGTGACTATAAGAGACTGATGATGTAGTGACTGTCACTAGAAGAGACTGATGATGTAGTGACTGTGACTAGAAGAGACTGATGATATAGTGACTGTCACTAGAAGAGACTGATGATGTAGTGACTGTGACTAGAAGAGACTGATGATGTAGTGACTGTCACTATAAGAGACTGATGATGTAGTGACTGTCATTAGAAGAGACTGATGATGTAGTGACTGTGACTATAAGAGACTGATGATGTAGTGACTGTCACTAGAAGAGACTGATGATGTAGTGACTGTCACTATAAGAGACTGATGATGTAGTGACTGTGACTAGA